GGCCAGCTCCTCAGGGGACGGACTCTCACGCCGGACCGAAGGGGGTCCGCAGACACGCCTCGGACTCTGTGTGACTCAAACCTGGCAAAATGCAGGGATCCGAACCGGCGGCTTCCCCGCCGATCCCACTAGGTGGAGCCCACAGCAAGCTCCCTGGGGAGGCCTGGACACCGAGCAGGGAGCAGCATCCCCCAGCCCCGGGCTGGGGAGGGAGCCAGGTGACAAACAGCAGGCTCTGTCCCGTTTCCACGCAGTGGAGTCTTTGCTGAATGTCACTAAATAAAAGGCCACCACCACCGTTCATCTGAGACCGGCCACTGCCTCTCTGAGTCCGTCAAGAGGACAAGGAAATTGTTTCAGGGGAAACTTCAGTCACTTGTTTCCAGAGAGAGAAGGGTTCAGTTTCCAGGACACTTGGTGACGACAGCAAGTGAAGGAGGGGCAGGCCCAGCGGACCCCAGGTCCCAACTGAAATCATACCTTCAGAGACTCTCATTTCCTTGATTTGGAGTACGGTCCTGGCACGCACCTTCTTCCTAGTCAACACGGATAAGTTCGTTTCCTCCAACTGTCAGCCAACATCTGAGGAATGCTTCCTAGGATGGGACTGATTCAAGGGACAGGCACGTGAAGTTTAACCACAAGCCGCACATGCGTATTGTCACCTCTTTTTCAAATGGGTTTGTGGGCAGCATGATTTGGTGGGAAAGTAGAGTTGAAACCAGCTCCTTTTGCATTGTGGCTGATGGCTTTTCTGCCGGCTGACCCAGCCCTGGCACAGGAGACCTCCCCCATGGGGGAGAGAGCAAGGTCTGTGGGCATCCCTTCTTCAAGGTCACGCTGTCCCTGGGCACCAGTCCCCCTGGGGTGCAGACACGGTCAAGCCCCTGCCAGAGAATCCCTTCTCTCTGAGGCCTCGGGATGAGGGAGAGGCATGCGTCAGGTAACGAGTGCATACTGATGAACACATTTCCAACTCCCATTCAGAAAAAAATACATCACTTGAACAAGGGGACTAGCCATTTGCCGTGAGAAATGGGAAGATGCTCACCTCAGAGGTCGGGTGGTGGGAGGAGGACTCTTTGAGAAGGGGGTGTGGACGCTGGCCGCGAAGCGTCAGACCATGGGGGCGCCAGGCACACACGTGGGGGTGCGGGCACCCAGGAGCACGCCCTGTCTGGGGGCCGCACTTGCACACACCGTTGACGTGACCACACACAGGAGTGGGGCTGGCATGCACGCATCCCCCCGGCCTCCCCCTGCCGCTGCACGGACCTCCACATTCTTTCCCACAGAGCCCGGGCGGAGCTCTAGACTACTTTCACACTCAGCTCCAGGAAGCCATTACACTTGATCAGAGTTGACAGTGAGGATGAAACTTATTTTGTGTCCAAATGCGGGAAAGGGGGGCGCGGTTAAAGAGACTTGGCCATATTATGGAAGATCTTGGTTCCTTCATGAATAGGGCCTGTAGTGCTTTCCACACACTGAAGCAGACACTTAAATGTACCACCTCATCATTCTACAGTATTTCCTATAACCTTTTCATGAACCCTATGAGTCGGGCATTTTATTTCCATTATATATATGGAGCAACTGGGCCTGGAGAAGCAAAGTAACTCTTCCGTGATTACACGGGTAAAGGGGCTGCCTGGGAATTTATTCCCAGATTTCTTTGACTCTAAAGTCATGTTCTCTTGAAAATGCTTGCTCAGGTTTGTATTCTGGAAGGAGGAAGGGAGAAGGGGAAGGAAGACGGGAGGGTAAGGGAGAAGCAGCTAGAGGGAGTCCAGTGTTGACCTCCGAGCTGTCCATGGTTTCGGGAAAATGTGTGAAAGTCAGTAACACTGGGAGTCTCCCCCCTCGATGCCATGGTAGAGACATGCAAAGCGATATTTTAAGGACATCACTTTCTTCTACATTTTACATTTCTTCACATTAGAACATTATACTAACAATCCTATTCATGCAAATTCTGGCAGCTGTGAAGGTAGCTGGCTCTCTCAAGTGTGTCTGCCTGGAAGGGCCAGCAGCAGGGCCCCCTGATATAAAAACTTAGTGAAACATTTTATGTTAAGAATGACTAGCTTTAAACCTGCTTTAGCAAACAGATTTGCGTAAAAGATACGTGTCTTTTAAGAATACACTTTTTGAACACTTAGTATGTGGAAGTCAAATAAATTTTCCCTTCAGTTTTAGATCTTTGCATAGGTGAAAACCCTGCTCCTTCGGGATTCTCATTACAACCCTAGCCAGTGCGTGCAGAAGGACGGGGCTCGGCTCCCGCCACAGACAGAGGTCCAAACTCTGAAGGAGGAAGTGAGCACACAGGACAAGGGAGGGCCTCTCCTGGCTTGTGAACCACACCGTAGAAAGGGCATGCCCTTCCTTGAATTCTTCTGCCACTGGCAAAAAGGAAGGAAACCAGATTCAGAGGGCATTGAAAAATTAATTCAACCCTTCTCTGTGATGGGTTGGAAAGCCTGAAGCCAAGACAACATTCAAGTTGTAAATGACAACTAATTCCATCCTGTAGCTCGCATGGCCTCGGGCTTACGGTGAAGACTTTAGGGGAGAAGCGAGGACAGAGAAGTGAGAAATTGGGAGAAATGTACAGATCTGTGTCTTCAGAAGCACCAAGGAAAGCTCTTCGTTTTTGGTCTGATAAGTAAAGTAAATCCTGATAACTTAACACAGACTTATTTTTGCTTTAAAAACACAGTTGTGCTTTCCTCTCTACCCCAAATCTACGTGGACACAAGCCTTAGAATGCGGGCTGCCTCCTTCTCCTGCCATCCGGTGGAGCACCTGCTCAGGTGACTGCTGGAGTTGTCACTAAAGCTGCAAAAACCTGAGGCCTGAAGCCTCAACCATGGTCTAAGACAGATTAGACGTTGACAATATATGAAATGAATTGATTCATTTTCCATAAACGATCGTGACAAAGAGGGAGAGGTGGGTGGTCGAGCGATGCCGGCTTTGGAGATGCTATTTCGGTGCACAGGGTGATGGGACGGCTATAGACCTCGTCCACTGAGGGTTCTTCACCAGTAAACGTAACGAGTCAGCTGCTACAACTTTCAATCGTATAAAAGTCCTCAGGAAAGAAACAAATTAGCACTACTAAAAACCTGATCTTTACAGCTCTAACGTAACTCAAGGGTTGTCTTGAGAGCACGGGGTTTGGAGTCAGCCAGGCTGTACATGAGCTAGGAGATGCAGAGCAGCTACGCCTTACAGCTCTCACTGTAAATGGGGATAGGAATGTTTTTCTTGCAGGCTACTGTGCTGGGGTGTAGGTGCATGGAAGTCAATTTATAAATGATGGCAATTATTATTACTGTGATGATTTAAAAAAACCCGAAGGCAGACCGTTATATGTTGACATTCTCTATGGGGGGATCATCATCATCATCATCATCATCATCAACACTGAAAACAAGTCGTCAACACAGACTATCTCGTCCTCTGGTTTGCAGCTGGTTTAGGTCAGGCTGTCCAAATCTACTTTTTCTAAACTCTGACTGATGCAGTGAAGTATTAACACAATGTATTGAGCATAAGATGCTTTTACAGTTCTGAGTTTTACAAATATATAGAAGATGGAACAAAAATATCTGTCACCTATACTACATTCCATTGTCCTACAACGGGCACACAAATCTCAAGGCATAATCATACTCCTGCCTGCCGTGAGCTTTGAAGATGCAGATCTGCTTGAAAAAATAAGAGAATAATTCCTCCTTAGTGGAAAACATCTGAGTTTATATTTAAAATATGCTTTAAATGAAAAATTCCTATGGATACTTCATTTTTATCACAGTGACTCATCTTAAGTTTCTTTGAACTTGATTTGTCTACTCATCTCACAGAAACTGTTAATCTCATGTGGCTGCATATCTATATACATCTCTCCTTTGTCTGAAGGCCAAATGAAATTATTTTCTCCACGTTTGTTTTCCAAAGAGATGCCCATGTTCTACTTAAACTTAGTAGAAAGCAGATGGACACCGTTGTAAACATTCATGTTGCTGGTTCATGCTCTCCTATTAAACAATACTTTTCAGCAATTCCTGCTGCTTGTTTAAATTCAGGAAAATGAGGATGTCTCCCTCAAATATTCATGGGCAACCCATACAACACCAGCCATAGCACTTCCAGAGCCCCTCGCCTTTCCAGAGGATTGTGAAAGAAGCCCCAGAGGGGTGGAGGAGAGGACCAGGCACGGAACAAGAAGGCTGGGGTGGGGGAGGGGAGAGAGGAGGGGACGGGGGGGGGGGCCCGGGGGCGGATGGGAGAGGAACAGAAAGCCATCCCTGCCTCTCATTCCTAGTTCAGCAGCCCTTCTCCACGTGTCTGACTCAACAAATGGCTTCAGCAAACTTTAACCAGTGTCTTTTGCTGCCTCTGGACTCCAGAGCTGAGCTCCTGATAATGCATCCCTGTGCTGTGCGTGGCAGAGCTACCCAGCCCTGAAAGCCTTATAAAATCATGCATGCTCTCATGTCTGTCCTTCCCACACACAGGTTTGGGTCCCAAATCATGCATTTTTGAGAGACCGGATGAGCTTAGGGGTGCCACTCTATTATGTAGATAACCAGAACACTGTGGGAGTCCTGGGGCTGTCCCCCCCATGCCCCCACCCCTGTACCTGGGAGGGCCACAGCGGATAACAGCGCAGGGAGGGTGGGGAGATAGTCCCGCCCTGCAGGACCTCAAGGGGAAACCTCAGCAACCAGAACAGGAGATAGATGGCTTTGTTCTAGGATGGGGGGCTTCACAAATGGGCAAGCAACCAGATTCATGGGACCCCCTAGAAGCTGGGTACAGTTAGCCAGGGAGGAGCCAGGGAGGCCCCACAACATCAGGGGACTTCACTGTCAGAATCAAGCCGCCCCATTTCCTGCCCTTAATTCTATGAATTAAGCAACTACTCAGGGTTCTACCCTTTCTTTGTTCTGAGTATTTCTCATTAAAAGAAAATGAAAGAATAATCTTACCCATGAGGAATTTTGCTCAGGACATAATATCCAGTGTAGGAGTGTTGGTATATCTGAAACAGACAAGACAAAAGAAAAGAAAGAAAGAAAGAAAGAAAGAAAGAAAGAAAGAAAGAAAGAAAGAAAGAAAGAAAGAAAGAAAAAAAAAAAGCAAGCATTGAGACAAAGGCTGTGACCATGATATTTTTCAAATCACTGTGCATCCTAAAAAACATCAGTGGAGGAAAAGTAGTTAATCAGGAGACCTGGAGGCAAAGTGTTTCGCTTACTTAGAAAGTTAACTTGCATATCCTGTTTATTTTACTTTGTTCATTTGCACATTGTTTACTGGGCAGAGGCTTGATATCGACCCCATAGCTGGCTGGTTTGTGATTAAATCGGGAGCACAGATTCCCAGCTCAAGGACATGTAACACAGGACGAATGAAGAGGTCACCAGAGGCTGTCAGTCAGCTAGACCCAGCACACCAGAAGACCCATGTACTGGGGGAGTTCCCTGTAAATTACGGCAAATTCCATTGTGCGTCCTCGGTGAATACTGAAACCAAGATAGGCTTAATTGGGCAAACTCCTGTCCTTCTGTACAAAGCGATGTGTATCTTTTAGCTTCAGAGAGTGGTCAATAAACTAAGAACTCATTACAAGAGGGAGTGTGGCTTTTAAAACGAAGGTAACAAAAAACAGTGTTTCCAAACTCCTCTAACCCCCAGCCTGAAGCTTCTCTTAAAATCTTGAGCCAGGAGGTGATTCTCTAACCCATAAATGCAATGACTTGAATGCAAGGGATGACCACAAATGGGGACAACGTGCAGTTCAAGAATTCTTGGCATCCTTCACCTCCAACTTTCTGGGTAGAGACCCTCCCCAGAGCTGGAATGTGATGGATTATCTGCAGGGTTGAAGCAAGAACATACCGCACTTCTCTTTCTTCCACGCGTGTAACTTCTGAGAGTCAAAAGCCTGTGTGGGGACATGTTAAGCGACCAGCATTTAAAACCACCTTCCTAAAGGTAATGGGTGAGGCCAAGGGAGATAGGTCCAGTGTGAAGCATGTGGGATAGAGGAATGCACTGGGGTGTGGATGATGGAGTGAGCCTGAGAAAGAGAACAGGCAGCACCCTGCTAAGCTCACTGACTCCCCGCCTCGTCGGGGCGCCTGGGTTAACTTAGAGATAATCATAGTGGATCACAGTTCCTGGAGAAAAAGAATCCAGATATAAAAGTAAACAGCAGCCCTCAAGTCCCAAAGTTCTTTTGCTTCTGAAGATCCTGAAACTTCTGCACCAGAAATACGGGGCCTGGGGTGGCCTATTGGAGGGAGGTGGGTAGGCATCCGACGAGGAAATCTGTCCAAATACTGCTTTCCTTATGAGTAAATAGCCAGTAAGCCAAAGAATCTGAAGGAGAACTTCCGGGCCTGCCCCTGCAATCTGAGAAGGAGCACACAAACCTACTCTGCTGTTTCTGACGTGATGCCTGGTCCTGCTTCCCCAGGAGAAGAAGGGAGGGCTGGTCCTGAGCAGATTCCTGGTCAGAGAGCACCCATCCGAGGACCCTGTGCTTTGACTAAACTGCCTCTGGGATGGACCAGCTCCCTCAGATGCAAGAACAGAAGCTCAACAGGCACACCACCTTTGTCCGAGGTCAGGGCACATGGTGCTGCCTAAACTCTCCCCCAAAGCCACCTGTTCATCCTGTTCATCTCACTCTAGTTTCATGATAACCCATGCAGGCAAAAGGTGACCTTTGTTTGCTAAAACAGGGGAGTGAGGTACAGCAAAAGGGCAGAGGAGAGAGGAAAAGGAGGAGGGGGAGGGGAAGTAGGGGTGGCGCCTAATTCCAAGGGACTTGATGGAATAGAATGTGGCAGAAATCATGGTGTGAGACTTCTGGGATCGGGTTGTAAAAGGTGCTGTGGCTTCTTGCTGGCTCTCCTTTGGATCACTGCTCGGGGGAAAGACAGCCACCATGCTGTGAGGACACCTGAGCAGCTCTAAGGAGAGGTCCATGTGGTGAGCCACCAAGGTTCCTCGCCAGCAGATCGCCAACAGCCCACAAGGAGCTGAGGCGTCTTGCCCACGGCCACACGAGGGAGCTAGGATGCACGGAGTCTTCATCCCTAGTGGAGCCTTCAGGCGATATAGCCCCGGCTGACGCTCTGACAGACCACGAGCCAGAGACACTCAGATAAGATGGTCTTGAATCCCTGACCCACAGTAATTTTAAGATCAGAAGTGTTGGTTGTCTTAAGCTGTTAAGTTTTGGGTAGTTTCTTATACGGCAATAGGTAAATGGTATATCTAGTCTTAATCCAGAGGAAAAAAGGTACCTATTATATCAAATGTGGACATACTTTTAAGTTACTGGACTCCCTCCCTATAAACCTCCTCCAGCCACTTCTAAAACAAACAGATAAAGAAATTCTTTATATCAAAACAGTTTCAGTACAGAAGTGAGTTGCTGGGAAGAACACTCATAGACCAAAAACCCTGAGGGAAGTCTTTGAAATGGCTGTAGAGAATAGTCATGGTGATGCCAATGAAGCTGAGGGTGTAAGCGGCGAGCTTTCATGGAGGTGCAGGGTGCCAGCTCCTCAGCATCCAGGAAGTCACTCAACGCAGGTATTAGCACCCTATTCTGAAGATAGGAAAGTTGAATCCTAAGGAATTCAAATTAAGTTCAAGCAATATTTGATCTGAAGTCTCTCTCTCTCCAATCACTACACTGGAAATTGCCTGAACAAAGGGCATATCTCTTAACTCAAGTTACAAGTCCAAGTTGATTGCTGTCAACCGAAAAATCCAGAATACCAACAGATATAACAAATATGCAAAATTTTGCGGTTGAAGGAATATTTCTTTAATCCCTCTGGAAGCAGTGATTTCAATTCATCCTCTGGTTATGCCATTCCCAAACAGACACCTAGAAGCTGATCTTTGCACTCCTCTTTAAACACACCACTAAATGACTCTGAAATTCAGCCCTGGGAGTATGCAGTATTCTGAGTGCAGCCAATGAGAAAAAGAAGACCAAATTAAAATAATCTTATATGGACAAGGGTAAGAAGATGGGAGAACTACCCATTCTCCATTCTATGGAGAATTCTATGTAGTATGGGGCAAAAAGGAAAAAAAATATGGATGGAAAATGTTGTGAAATATCTGGAAAACTGAATCACTAATTAGAAAGATTCCAACAAAAATGGGACAGAGCCAGAAAGAGACAGGTAAGACCTGAGATGCTGGATCTGCCAAGGATGTATATGAACGAAGCCTTCCAGAGTGAACTGCTGATGCAAATGGGATCCTTAGAAATGAAAGTGCACTTAGGATTTATGTATTACTCTTAAACAATTAGCAAAGGGAGAAGGTGATGTGACAGTTTTCTCTTCGCTCCAAGACGGAACTATCAAACAGCATTCTCTTCCACAAAATATCCTCTCAACCCAGAGCCAAAAGAACCACAGGCATAAAAGAGACTACTCTTTAAAGAGCAAATGCCTTATCTTGAAAGGAATAAGAAAAAAAAAAGCTACATCTCCTTGAAAGAATTTGTTCCTTAGAAAGATAAAGCCTTCCCCCCGCCACCCCGGTCTCTATCTGTTGTATTTATGTTTCTTTCTTTAAAATAGTCTCTGAATACTTTTTTTTAAAAAAGATTTATTTATTTATTTGACAGGGAGGGTGAGAGAGCACAAGCAGGGGGAGCAGTAGAGGGAGAGGGAGAAGCAGGCTCCCCACTGAGCAGGGAGCCCGACATGGGACTCAATCCCAGGACCCTGGGATCATGACCTGAGCCAACCATCTGAGCCACCCAGGTGCCCCTGAATACTTCTGATCATTGGAAAAAAAGTACAGAGTTGGAAGTTAGTAAGACTGCATTCAGTTATTTTTCTAAGAGCGCACTTTTAGAAGTTCACAGATTTGAGTTACTTTGGTTTCTTCTTCACTATCAAATTTCCCTTGGAAAATTAATATATAAGGACTTGTTACCCAAAACACCATTCACAAGATGGGAAAGCAATTTCAGCAAATTTTCTTTCTGCTATATCATGAAAAATAGTTGCTATTGGCTTTCAATAATTGGAATAAAAATAACCAGTCAAAAGTCTCTCATGGGGTGAGTTCACATTTGGCTTGCTTCTTCCATTTCTGAAACATCTGCCCACACTTCTTATATTTTCTCCTTCTCTGCTCCCACGGAGCCATACTTTCTATTTGTCTATGGTCTTCACTACCTCAGCCTCATCATACACACTCATGCCCCACCATGCACACTCATGCAGACTCACTTTGTATCTTCTTCTTCGATGAAATCATCCACTCCTGTAGTTTTAAACCAGATTTCCACCTAGACATCCCTACCTCATGCCTCACAAGCACCAAAAACTCAATATTCTCCAAAATAAACTCTTCAACAACCCTAAAAACGCGGTTCTCCTTTGATATTTCCTATCTTAGTTGGTGGTTTCATCATTCAGTATACTGAGCTAAAAACAAAGTTCTCCTTGACTCCATTCTTTGCCTCCCTTGACTGCCTGCCCCAGTTCAATCTACCCTCCAATGACACTGAATTAACTTCTTTAGTCCTCCTCTAATCCACCACCCAGTCTTCACCTCTATAGTCTCACTGCAGACCTCCCCTCCAGCTTTTCCCTCCTGCAGAAAGAAGCTACCAGATCCCTTTCCAAGATCAACCTCTGAGGTTTCCACGCCACTCCCTTCTGCTCCCTGGTGAACCTCATGACTCTTGCCTTATAGGTTTTGTAAAAGGCCCTGCCTTACAAGTTTCCCCACTCCCTGTCCCTAACTACCTCTCCCAAATTTGTAAAATAGAACTCAAATCTCCCTTAAAGGATGGCGGAGGAGTAGGGGACCCTATTCCAACCAGTCCCTTGGACTGAGCTGGATATCTACCAGACCACTCTGAACACCCACGAAATCAGCCTCAGTTGTAAGAAGATATATCTGGATCTCTGCGGTGGTTGGTTTCGAGGTATGAAGCAGGGAGCTGTGATTCTGGGGGCAGATATCAGAAGATAAATGGAAGTGGGA